AAAAGAACAGAGCATTGTGTGGGTGTATAAATTCATGGTGCTCTCTCCTTTCATCCTGGATATTGTGCGTGGTTCTGGTCCCCCTCCTCCTGCTCAAAAATGTGAATTAGAGAAGGTACGAAGATAAGAAACAAGGAGAGTCAGAGTTATGAAACAGCTAAACTGTTGATTGAGCTGTGGACCTTCTTGCCCCAGGATGCTTTTGGCACTAAAAATTGGGGTAGGTTCAAAACGTGATGGGACAAAGTCACGAAAGAGGAATTAGTTGAGGGCTGTTACATACGCAGTTGATGTCTTCAGGTAAGGAAGTCCTTAAACTGCAGTTACAGCACACCTGGGATGGTGTTAAGTCTTGAGTTGTTCCTTTCTTCAACTTTCCTGCAGATATCTGCTGGTTACCATCTTCTCTGCTTTCACGGATAACACGCTTTCGTATTGTGAAGTTATTTTGCCTGGACTTCTTTGGTATGCAGTATTTCAGTGTTTGGTATGCAGTGTTTAAGATCGTAAAAGGTCACTTAAAGTTACCTTCATCATTCAGTGGTGATGGGGGTAAATGAGTACAGTACTTCTGTGGATGCCATAGGAAATTAGTTCCAGAAATCAAGGTTGTAACTCCCAAAAGGTGGAGGGGTTAAAAAAAAAAAAAAGTCCTCTAAATTCCATATGCTGGATGCTGCTCAGACATGGAGTTTAGATAATTCAGGTTACCACTCCAGTATCATTACTGCCTGATCTTGCTTATAGGCTTTTAAGGAATGCCAGGTTTGGTCCTCTGCAGTTTTTTTCTCTTTAAAATTTGCTGGCATCCAGAATACCTAAATTTTTGGTAGTGATTCAATATTAATGCTTCTTTACATCTTCGGAGTTATAGTTGTTACCTGTATGTACTGTCAGCGCTTCAAGAAAAGCAAATCTGGCAAACAGCACACCTGTTGCATTTGGTCCAGTGTAACTAAGGAAGGAGAAACTGTTTTCTGTGATGCACAACACTGTCATAGTTGCTCAAAATGAGGTGTGGTGCAAATCTTTTCTACGTATGCAAAACCTGTGTGTGTTAATACTGCATAGCACATAAAGCCACTTGAGAACTTCTGTTCCTTACTGCATTCAAAATTATAATTTATTAAGTCACAGTAGAGCCTCTATAACATATTACTAAAAAAAAAAATAGTTATCTTTAAAATAATACCTAAATTAGTGGAAAGACCTATTTGAAACACCACTGTATTATGAATGGCAAAATTAACAAGATTAAAAACAACATGAAGGAATATTTTTCCTAGAACAAATATTCCACTAAGCGAACATGAGTGGCCATTTGAAATGTATGATTTGATCAAGGAAAATGAGATTTCTTAAATGATTTGGACAAATCAGTAGCTTTTGTCTGAGATTTTTGAATGTTTATTCAGACTATTTACTCTGTTTACTGCCTCTTTCAGTCCTCTATGTAGAAAAGATAGAAATGTTAGTTCTTAAGTGGTTATACTGTTCCTGTTGATCTGCTGTGCAGCTGAGGCAGTTACGAATTCATGAATTTAAAAACGCTGCTGTAGTTCATACCTGATTGTAAGGCTTGCTACAAACAGCAGCTCAGAGCAGTAGGGTACAAACAGACCGGAGGAATCACTAGAGATGAGGAGTTCAAGCATCTCTTGGCCACACCGGTCTTTATAAAGCCGTAGCCATCGGAGCCCATGCAGCAGCCCTGCTTCCGCTCCTCTCCGTTAAATGCTGTAGTTGTTACTGGGCAGAATTTCTCTTGAAAATTTGGGACTTCATCCTGTAATCTGTTAATACGGCTCTTTGCGTGTCAGGACCATCCATGGTCTGATGTTTAGCGTTATGAGGTTTGGGGACGAACATGATGTGGTTTAGGTAAATTTTTGCCTTGCATGCTGTTTGTATTCAATAACCTCCCAAAGACTAAGCTCAGAAGTACTCTGCAACATTTCTTATGCAAACATTTGGTAGTTAGTTTTTCTTTCTTAACACTCTCACTTTTTATTAACTTTATAGAAATGTATCCTGTGTTGAAGACCAACCTCAATCCCAGCCTAGAATATAAACTGGACTTTATTATAAAAGGCAGTCTAGGCTTTGGGAGGATTACTTTATGCATAAAAATTGTTTGCAGAATGAAGTTTAATGTTACGTTCCTGTACCTTACAAAGTCCAGGAAAAAAACAAAAGCTTATGATAAATGCCATGTAAGAGCATTCCTATTTTAAGCATTCAAATTTGATTATTTGCTGTCATATTTTTCAGTAGAGGCTGAAAACAAAATACAAATTATTAGGAAGGTTTCTGTGGCACTAGCTGTAGGGAACAGGACACACAGCATTGTGTTTCCCATTCAAATTTCAGCGTGTTTCAGTGTTTAAGGTCAGAAAGGAGTTCTCCTTTGCCTGGATGATACTGCAACAAACTCGCTTGTGCCTGCGATACAAATTTTCTTGAGTGCTGTTTCGAAAAAGTCCTTCATAGCTGCATAGGCATCCTTTGGGGATTTCTAAACGCATGTTTCTGCAAATTTGTTGCAAACAGAATGTGAGGGTTTGAGAATGAGCCTTTTACTGTAACATATACCACCAATGGCTAGAGTTTTGCATATGTTTTCTGTTTAACTGGAGTATTGAAAAGCAGTGATTAGATTGGTTTCAGTTTACGAGTCTCTTTAAAGTAATGAAACACTTCCTTAAACACACGGGCGCACACAAATCTGTGCACAATTCTGACTTTATTCTGTTATCTGAGCACTTTTTAAATGGTGAAAGTTTACAAAACCCATTTAGTTTTTGATACCGGTACACTTTCCTCTTAGTAGCAATTAATAACTGAACCTGAGCATTGCTTACTCCCTTAAGACAGAAGAATATTTTAGCAAATATGGAAATGCGTGCTACATGGAGAACAGAATATTACTGTTGGACCTGTTAGGCACCTTGCAAGTGCTTTGAGAGGAGAAAATATTGATGTCTAGCTTACGCTGACTCTTCAAAATCAGAAGATTTTGTTTCAGAGAGTACTTGAAAGTTCATTCAAAATCTGCACCATGATGCTTTCTTATCAAAGCACACACGTGTACCTGCACACCTTCTGACTTCAGAGCGCGGTGGTATCCCTTAATTCTTCCACAGGAGATTTGTTCCATTTCATATGAAACTCTTCTCCCACTGAAATTTTCTTTTTGTGTTAGTAATTGTATTATTTGTATTTATGTTGCCAGTTGCCTTGATTGCACTTGATATGTTTGTAATATCAGGAGGAAGGTAGATGTATGTGGCAGTTCCCTAATGATTTGAGAGAGGAGGAAAGATGGGGAATTACATATTGATGTGTGTAATGGGACTTACTAAGAATTTCATCTACCCTCTAACTTCGGGCTGGGGGACTGATTTGTTTCTTCTAATGCAGAATGTAAATAAACTATGTAGCGCGTGGATGGCTATCAGTCTGCTTGGTGCTACAGCTTTCATAGCATCCTTCTTTCTCAGTGTAATCCACCTTTTAGAGGTTGCTACTTTAAGATGCGCTGTTGCATAGCTGTGAAAAAAGAATAAAAAATAACTTGTTCGGGCTTGTTTGCATGTATTTTAAATGAAATCATCTGTTGACTCTGAAAAGGAAGCCATTAATCTCTATAGTCTAAGATATTCCTCTGCTTAATGGAGGGGTAGGTTGGTCCTGGCTAAGGTAAGGCAGTACAGCAGAGGGGAGTGTCTGTCTCTGGCACGGGGTGCGTGGTGTTCGGTTTTGCACAGTGTTCACTGTAATAGTTGTGGTAAAGCAGTTATTTACAAGATGCACACGATGTGGTTGTCTCTCACTGTGTTACCATGTGATGTTAACAAGTTGAGTATCGATAGCATTCGGTACCGTATGTTGCAGTGGTATAGGTAAACATCAAAGAAGGGCTGTGTGAAAGGCACAAGATGGATGAAAAGGGGGCACCTGCCTGTCCCCGCCCTGGAAGAGCAGTAAATCTGTCGGGTACCGCACTCCGATGTAGGAAACAAATACTTCTAGCTAACAGTAGATCATTAAAATATTTGGTGATCAAATCGAGTCTTTCTTAAAATATTCAAAAACTTTTTTCCAACTCTCATTTTATTTTATTTATTTTATTTTAATGTGTGTTCAAGATCTAATCTTCAGGAGTTTGGATCTTAGGGAAATCACTGGATGTTTTATGTGCTTTTCTTTTGTCCAAACTGTTGCTTTCATCTACAGTTTTTAGTCTTTAAAAATGCTACACTTGCTTTCATTGAGCTGTATGTAATTTTTACCAGTTTGGTGGTAAAAATTACGTTGTTTTTTTTTTTTATCCTGGTAGACCAATAAGCAAGTTGAAAAGAAAGGCCAGGACTCCTGTTTATTTGGTATCACCCTCTCCAGGCTTGTTCCTGCAGCCGGTGTTGCAGCTCACAGTGCTGCCTCTGTGTTGTGTCTTTTGTCCTCCAGCAACACTGTCAAACAGTAACAGAGGAAACTCAGAAACATCTCAGATTTTTTTTTTTTCTGACCCTTGCAGGAGCTTAAATGTTCCACGCATGGTAGAGTATTTGGCTAGAAAATATGCCTGGGCATCAGTAGGCATTTATTGTGTCTCTTCTGTTTTAAATAAGTCCTGTTTGCTTCCTCCGTCCAGAGACATATTTTAGCAGCAAGTTATTTCATGTAATTTACAGTATCTACTTTGGATATTTCTAGGAAAACTCTCAATGTAGTGTCTTAGTCTGGCAAGACCTTTGATTGTGCAGAGGTCCAGGTTGGTTAGTAATGGGCTAACGTCACCGTGTGAGTTTGACAAGGAAAAAATGTGTTGAAACAGAAGGAAGGGGGTCTCAATGTGATAGAAAATCTCTGTGAGGTTATCTTAAGACTTGAGGAGGACTTCTGAGGTAATAACCGTGCATCTTAAATTCAGTCATTGCGATCTGGAAAACTAGGTCTGTGCTACATGAATTTATTCTTCTGCTGTTTTTTTTTCCTAGTGTCCCAATGTAATATCAGCTTGAAGAAGCAGAGGAGTCGAAGTATCTTTAGCACCTTATTCTGCTGCTTTCGTGACTACAATGTCGAACCACCATCTACCAATAGCACCAGTGCTCTTCCTCCTTTGGTGGAGGAGAATGGAGGACTTCAGAAGGTCAGGCTTTTATCTTACTTTGCTGCATATGGGTCTTTTGTAACCAAGGTTTAACTCTGCGCTTCTGAAGGTTTGTCTTAAGAGGTTTCCCTCATGGGGAACATGTTACAAGTGACACAAAAAATTACTGTTTTGATGGTGAATTGCTAATACTATCTTTCAGCTGCAATTTAAAACTAACTTTTCCGTGAAGGGTATTGGCACTATACATTTTATAAGCAAACAACATTTAAAACCTGAGTAAGACACTGAAAAAATGTGGACTTCTCATAAAACTTCAGATGCTGAGCTGTCTCTAGCTTTGGTTCTCTTTCCCAGCTACAGGAAGGTTAAAATGTGTCCACTGGAGCGTAGTGGAACCGCTTTGAATGTCAGTTGAAAGGGTTTTCAATGACATAAAAACAGTTCAAAAAGGGGGAGAACCATAATTGTTTGGACCTTTTTTCTAACCAGTTCACCTGTATTTAATGCACACTGAGTCCAGAGGTATCGGCTTTTGGCCATTTTTCCAGGTTATTAAGTTTTGTTTACTTAGTAAGTCAAATTAATTGATGCAAACTTTTAGCACTTCAAAGCATTGTATGTAAGAGCAGCATGTTACTTTCATTGAGTTCTAGTAATTATATTGCTTTGCCATATTCATAAAATCACAACACAAATGATTTTGTATGTTCTTTTTAAATCTGTTAACAGTGAGAGCATTTGCTTTATGAACTGAAGAATTTTGGTTCAATATCGCAAACATAGGAATACCATCTTTTCCATACCATGTTGTTTTTCAGCACTCTCAAAACTCCATTAGTGCTATGCTTTTAATTGAAACACCGTTCCCCTTGCACTTTTCCAGTTCTTTAAGAGATGGCAAATATAGGTGTATCTATGATGGGGAATAATAGCAGAAATGGAGATGTCTTTATCTTTTCACCCTTCTGCTCTTCACACTAACTTTTCATATTTGATGCAGCTTACTTCTTACCTACCTTGTCCAGTCTATTTTATTTTGTTTTGAATTTTGCTGGTTATGTTTGAATTCTGAAAAGCTCAGGAGAAAGAGCAGAGGAACTGTTTGGTGGAAGACAGGAAAGGAAAGCAAATTAAAGTGACAGAGACTGAGAATGTGTATGGAGGTAAAGTCTGAACTGCAGCAGTTCATGCTGAAACTGCTTATGCAGAGGTAAAGTGCACTGAAAATTCCTCTGCCAAGAGGAGGAATTGTATGTGTATTTTTAGACTTCTTTTGCTAGCCAAGGTACATTTTGACTGAAATGAGGGAAATCTAGCCTGGATGTGCTGAAGGGAAAGCTGAGTAGTGTGTAGCATGTATGCGCATGTTCACCTGGAAAGCAAAAGGAATGGGAAATTAGTAAAACTTCCCTTTCCAGTATGCTAGGGAATGGAATGGAGGCAGAGGTGAGGCTACCAGCAAAGTTACAAATGAGAGAAAATGAGAGTTTATTAGAAAGAAAAATGTAAAGAAGAAAAGGGTTTGTTTTTTCTATAGAAAACATGAGTTAAAATGGTCTGGAGTCAGTAGTTTTCAGATTGCATTTTGTAAAATTATTATTAATTACTTTCTAAATATATCTTATGCCTTGAGCGAGTGATTACATGTATGTTCACACAGGTTTCCATCCGCACTCTGTGCTACCTTAGTGAGCAGTTTTGAAGTTGTGCAATACTTGTACACGAGCCCAAGACACAAATCACAGAATTCATAGCGTTACCAGACTACAGCTTAATTGAGTAAAAGAGTTCAAGGAATATGTTAAAAAGAAGTATTATAGGGTGCATTTTCTTCCAACAGAATGAAATGCCCTCAGATGCTTATAGATCTTTGTAGAAGAAATAAAGTATGGCTAATCTTTTGGGTAGTTCTTAAGTGAGTGCAAATAAGTCTGTAACATTTCTATTTTAAATGCAGTATTGAAGACTAATAAGCTTTGTATGTGGTTTTTATATGCTGGTTTTATTTTCAGTGCTAACATGGTTAGTGCAAGTAGGAAATTCTTTTAAAGAAAGAAAAACAGTGTTGAAGGCTTGGATATATTTGAATATCGTTACACTGTGAGGCTAGTGCCTTTTACCAGGAGAGCTGTGTTTTAGAACTGTGCAGGTTGGTTGAATTTGACCGAGTTACACTGAGCATCTTGTCTAGATTCAGAAATGATGAGTAAGTTGGGGAAAAGTACATGCAACAGTGGGCCTCAGTTTCTAAATTGGTGAAATTAAATGTCCAAGAATGACAAAATTACCTGTTTTAGGAAAGAAAAGAAAGCCTGACAACACACTGCTTAAACCCTTCTGCTGTTTGTTTAAAGCTCTTGTTGCATTAATCTGCCTGCCAGGTTAAGAATAGTTTAAATTCTGTTGAGCTGCTGTTCAAACGGTCACTTACTTACATCTGCTATCTCTTTTTGTATGTTGTATTAATTATTTATCACATCACAGGTCACCACTGACTCAGCCCAGTCAGTTCATGTGTTGTGACCCTTTCCTTCAAAAATGGAAAAATAAAATTGCACAATGTTGTTAAATAATTACTATTGGAAACTAGTATAAAATGGCTCAGATGTACTTTCCTTCTGTCTTTATTGTTCAGTAGAGTTGTTACATGAAAACTGGTGATAAAGGCTTCAGAGGAAGGAAAGGAACAGAGAAAGCTTCTGCTGGTTTCACAGGAATTCAGTGTGTGTTCTGTCTTGCTTCTGGCATACTGAAGTTGAAGTTGATGTGACAAGCTAACTTCCTTCTAATTAGGAGTCTCGATTCTTTCAATGCTAACCTGTTGTAAAGGAGGGAGTGCAGGGAAGAGTAAACACAGTTCTGAAATTTTGTTCAGAGTAATTGTGTTGTGCGATTTAATTTTTTTTAATTACTATTATTTTGCTGTATTAGAAAAAATGAAATCAGTGCTTCAAATGAAATCAGTGCTTCATTTAGTATTTTACCAAATGATGTGACTTGATTACACTTGGCAAGTCAAGTGTCACGTCACTTCTTCATAGGATTGGAAGAAACACCAAACTGAGCATGGTTTTGAATAAACAGGGTTTTTCAGCACTGACTTCTATTCCAGTAGGGGAAAAAGCCCAAAAACTTTTTTAAAGTATTGAGTTCACTTTTAAACCACCTACTCACAGAGCAGCTGCTTGTCCAACTGCGACTCTTAATACTGGTAATGAATGAACCATTCTGTCTCTAAAGTTTCAATACAACATTTTTCAATAACTTGTATTTACTGAAACTATTGTGTATTTGTTTTTCTTAAAATGTGACAGCTTTTTAGTGCAGCACAAAGATGTGTTCTAAGACATAATTTACAGGGGGTATATCAGCCTGTCTACAGCTGGGATGCCGAGCCAGATATGTCATTGGGAGCACACAATGTTCAGCCTCATGAAATCCTTCCTAATTTTTTCCTGCCTCCTCAGCAGCAGGCAGCTCACCAAGACCTTCCAGCCATTTTTTTTAGAGTCCAGAGTGTTGGGAGAGGGAAGTGTTTTTTGTTTTCTGCTGGTCTCAATTTCTGTTCTTCCATTAGCAACTTGACTCAATTTGTGTATTTTCTGGGCACGCTTCTCGGTGCAAGTTGTTTGGGGTTTTTTGCTGGGTAAGTTTGTTACCTGAGTTTTGAAGTGTTTGCAGATACAGATTTCATCTGCAGGCTTCAAGGGGGGATCTAGATAAAGAAAGGTGAGAAAAGCTAGATGCAAACTGTCTCTTCCCTTTGCCTTCAGTCATGGTGGGTGAGGGAGCTCTGACAAGTCGATGGGCACTTTGCCGTTTCACTTACAATCCACTTCCACTAGAGTCATCTCTGCTTTTGTTTCACAGATAGATCCAAATCGGGCAGATGGCTTCTGTTCAAAAAGATGAAACGTGAATGAGGAAAGGTGTTTTTTGTTGGTTTTCTTTTGTTATACTTGTTGGGTTAGAGGAGAAGGTCTTGATCCACGCTCAACAGGGAAGAAGACAGAATTAGAAGGAGGTTTATTCTGGGGGCAGCAGCTGCCCCCACTGCTTTCCCTGTAACAGGAATGAAGCCAGAAAGGTCAAGTGCTTGAATTTCCACCTCACCCATCCTAACCACTACAAAAGTTAGGTCTCCTTCTCCTCACTGCTTTTTGCTGCACGGTGCTGTCATTTCCAAGGTGATGCTGGAAAGCTGTTTTGATGACCTACTGTCATGTTTCCAACACTTGTCTGCTTCAGGGATCTCTATATATAACACACTTGAAAGTTCAGGGAAAGGGATCTTCTCTATCCAACATGAATTTGGTTCACCAGAGTGAGTAAAAGGGCTTTTAAGGGAGCACGTTCTTGAGGTCAAAAGTATTATCTCCTTCGTGCAAGAGACCTAGAAGGAGTCACATGAACATGGACTCTTTGATGGGGAGTCTCTTAATAGCACGCTTTCTGAACAAACATGGAAACCAGTCTCACTCCCCACTGTGGAGGAAGTTAAGTGAGATTAATGTAAGTAATAGTACTCTTCCTCCTGCTTAACCTTCACTGATCAGAGCAAGAAAATTCCTTGTGTTTGGTTCTGTTGGTCACCATCAGCATGTGGTATGGTAGGTCTATTAAGAAAAAACACCCCTCTGCATAGCTATGTTTGGTTCTTCTGTCTCTGCGTACTCATTCTGACCTTCTTTGCCTCCCCAAAAAGTCTTCTATATTAAGAGACAAAGTTCGATAGTCTAAGTCGATGAAAGAGTCAAATAGTTACTGTATTATTGTTTTTAAAGAACCTATCATGGTCTAGTATAAGCTTTGTGTTAAAGAAATAAATATGATAAATCTGTTCTTTTGATCAGCTCTTCTTTTAAGGGGATGTTCTTTAAAATGAAACAGCTCCTTATCTTTGAATACAAACTGTTCTCAAAAAAGCAAAATAGTGTGGTCAGTCACTTGATGCTCATTGATCCCTTACGCGACCGTAGACGGACAGCATTAATGAACGGATGCAGTACTGAAAATGTTGTCTCTCAGACTAAAATTACGTAGCGAAGGGAAAAGGTAGGATTTATCGTTTCATCTGTATATATCATGCCGTGAAAAAAAAAACAAAACTGATTTCAGTGGCTGAACAAATCAGTTCCTGGGTTATCTTAGTGATACAATGGGGAAATTTTGGCATTCTAGGAACAGCTTTGTCCTGTTACCAGCATCAGGAGCTCATGGAAAGACTTCAACAGATGCAGTCATCTGTCATCTATTTCAAACGATAGCGTTATGACCTACTTCCCTTCCTGTTCCAAGGCATCAGGAAGCGAGGCAGGACACTTTTAAAAAAAGTTTCCCATAGCAGGCTTGTTTTGAAAAAGCATTTGCCTGTTCATGAGCACTTATGTTTTACCAGCACACTCTTGCATTTATCTTTCTGCTTGTTTTTCCAGTTGTCATCATTGCCATTTTGATTTTTGCATAGGTACATTTAGGGTTCCTCTTAGGAAATTCGCTTGTTTTCCTTGTTTTTGATTTAAGAAATTCTGCAAGAAAAATAAAGCGAACAGTAATGCAAGTCCTTTAGCAACTTAGGTTCTGGATCCCCATGAAAGTCAGGCTTAGCAGTAATACCATGGGGTGCAGCTCTTGCTTCAAGAGATTGCCAAAATAGAAAGCAAGTTATGCCACGGTGAGTGCCTCTTGAAGTCTGTGGGAAAACCTGATGTGATACACAGCTGTGTTTGTGTCCAAGAGTGAGATAATCTTGTACCATAACTGTGGATATGCCTCTAGCTCTCATATACTGTTTTCATCTGTTGACAGAAGAGGAGCTCCAGTTGTATTTTATTCTCTTTACCAGTGAATGCAAAAAATGCCTTTAAAAACAAAACAAAACACAGGTTTGCAATCTGTGCTCTGCCTGTGTAACCATATCCTTGATAGCAATTTGATCACAGGCCAGCTAATCTGACCGGCACCTACTCAAATTCACTCCTTTCTCAAATGGCCCATGAACTTCAGATGATGTTCCACTAACAGGATATTAACATGCTGAATTATAGTTTTTTTCTTTTCTTTTTGCCATTATCTTGAGGAAAATTTGGATTCTTACCAGGTTTTTTTGTGTGTTTGTTTTTATAGAAATCAGATACTTTTTACTAAAGCAAACTTCTTGATAGTTCATGGTAGTTGCTGCTCTCTAGCTGCTTCATCAGCTTCTCTGGATTTTGGTCAAACTTCAGTAAAAATTTCTGCTGTTGTAGCAATAAAAAGAGGACTTGAAAAATAATACTGAATTACTTTTGTTTGTCAGTGATGTGTCAACACTATGTTAGACTCCAAAACAAGTGAGCACAAGACTTTTTCAGGTGGAAGAGGATGTTCTAATGTTGAAAACAGGTCTTTCAATAGATAGTCAATCTGCTGGTAGTCAGAGCCTGTGTTGTCCAAGTAATTAAAGAATAAAATAATCTATCTAAGCAACATCTGTGCTAGAAGAGTCAGCTTCCTTTTTTTTTTTTTACGTGCGTGCCCACCAGAAGACAAATACTTGTTTTTGACGGATTAGAAAGACTAGAAAATACAGTTCCTACTTCCCAAAATGTCTTGCATATTAGTTGGCAACCCTGTGACCAGCCGACCTCCATTTAGAAGCTGTAAATGGAAGTGTCTTTGTCTCAGTATGTTGGGTCGCAGCATGAGAAGAAAAGGTCAAGTTGGCCAAAGACTGTCTTGCCTTCTCCCAAGTACAATACAAAAGGGAGGCCATGGGAAGAGCACTGATACTGTTGCCTCTATCTGGGTGAAGAAAGTGGGATTCCTTGGATTGGTTTATCACCGTCATGTCCATCGTGGGCATTTTGCTGTTGCCTAAGTGAAAAAGCTGTTTTTTCTGAGGAAGTTGTCTCAAGTGAAGTTAACTTCAAGGAGTGGGCTTCTGCCCTGCTACCAAGGTCTGGCTGAGCCTCTTGTTGCTGCAGTGAAAATACACAAATATACCCATTAGTAGATCTTAAAGCTGAAAAAGTTACAGTAAATACAGGTACTTTCTTATTATCATCTCTTATTAATCATAGCATGGGTTTTACCAGTCCAGTCTCCTAAAAATCATAAATACCAATATACTAACCGATCATTTCAGCGACTAAAATGCAAGATCCTGTTTTTATTTTTTTTACCCTGGTTTCTTGAATACTTTGAACTTTTGGTTTAAAATGTTTGAGTGCTACATTTACTGCTTCAGACCTTTGTTCTACCCTTTAAAAGCCATTACCCTTACAGTGATTTTTTTTCTTTTTCCCCAGGGTGACCAGATGCAGGTCATGCCTATACCAAGTGTATGTATTTTTATCCCTTTTTCTTTTAATAATTTTCATAACTTTTGCTTTGATTCATCTTATGTTGCAGTCTAACAGGTCTGTTTTGTGTTGCATGTTAACAAAAGGATTTTATGTTCTGTCTGCAATGTTGTATACTCAGAGATGAATTGAACTGCACGTGTTGTACAGGGACTAAAAGAAGAGTTTGGGTTTTATATGGTTTTCATCTTGCATCTCAGTTAAATTTGTTTCTGAATTTTTATAATTTTGAAAATGCGTGAAGTAGTCTGAAAGTTGAAGTTACTTATTTTAATAGAGACAAAAGGTGACTCATCATCACTGTGTGGGACACAGTTACAAAAACCTTTTCCTCTAATTTTTCCCTATATTCCAGTTCGAAAACAAGAGTTAGGAACTACATAATCTGTTTGAAACAAGCCACTTAAGGAAAACAAAGCATACACTGACTAGCTGCATTACTGCACTCATTCGAGATGATGCTCTCAGTATCGGCTGCTGTTTTATGGGCCTTAATATTTCTGCTTATCTTCCCTGGATTAAACTTGGAATGCCATTTGGCATCTGAATTATTTTTGCAAAGCAAAATAAAAGGAAGAAAAAAAAAAAACTTCAAGCTTTGAATTTAATTAGGTTTAACCTTTTTTGGTCAAAAAGCTGCTCTTTTTCCACTTGTTTTTTATGTGGATGAAGACTTAGATTTTTTTTAAATCTGGAAATACGGGGTTTTTTGAGCTCCTTTGCTGTTTATAATACTTCATTATTGCAGAGTTTTCCAGGAAATAGCAGTGCAGATGTGTGGAGTTACTGACACAGCCCTCTTTCTTGAGATATTCGGTAGCCCCTAAAGATGTGAATATTCCCCAGAATACCATTTTTTTTCCTCTTTCCCTTCCTTCTCATGTAGCCCAACACTACAAGACCTATAAGAACCCTGTCCGTGCCGCAGTGCAATAGTGTCAGGAGATCACTATAACTGTGCAGATCACTTCCCTCCTTCACTACGTTTTCTTGGATTTAAGAACTGTTAGAAATTACTCTTTATTGCTTACCTATTATTTCTAATAGGAAATTACTTCTAATATGGCTCATGCATATATTTGCGTGTGTGTGTATGTATACACATACATGTACATGCATGTAACTTGTATATATGCAAGTCTGGGAATAGAAAAGTTTGGATGTATGAAAATACTGATTTCTAAATTACTTTTCCTTTTACATACCTACCAGATTCAGTTTGGTGACTGTAGTTGCTCTGCTAGTAGTTATTTGAATGTAAAGCACGTTCTGGCTGTGCTCTGACCTGGAATAAAATTTTGCCTAAGAGCGAGTGTAGGTATTAATGAAGTAAGAATTCAAACAGAACAAAATTTTGAAACGATAAATGAGTACAGCTTTGTCAGGTACAAACATGAAATAAGATATTTTGCTAGAACACCATCTTTCTGATGTTAAAGCAGTGCTCTGTTAGATTTGGGTAGTGGTAGGAAAATGAATGATTCACGAAGGGGTTTCTTTTTTTTCTTTTTTTTTTTTTTGGTAGCTCAACTGTAATTTTGCTGACCTATATTCCCAGCACTTTAATAAGGCAGTAAAATTAACTTTGCAGTCATGACGTAGAGTTCTCCGTGAGCAGGTGACTTTAAACACGCTCGTTCCTCTTCTCCGGTGCCATCTGATGCCTTCTTCCAGCAGGACGTGCAAGTGTTGTCAAGCAACCATCGCCCGCAGGCAGTTGTGTGACATTTACTACCCGAGTATCAGAGTGCTTCTCGCTGTCAAACAGAAGCCAGCGAGCATTAGTACGTAATAGTCTAAATAAAGACAGAAGTGAACTGTGTATGGAGAATGTGTTAGGAACGAAGATGCAAAGCCAACATTTTATTTGAAAAATGCCTAAAATTAAAGCTGTCCTTTTTGCCAATCTTACAAGGGCTGCTTGTCCTGAGCACTGAAGCCCAGAGGTTCACGCCGAGACAACTCTTAACCGTGTGATTAAGACCCATTAAGGCAGAAATTCTTGAAGCTCTGCTACATAGGGTCATGGATGAGAAATAGACTGTTTGAACCATATGTATTGTACATACCAGGAGAAAAATCTTCTGAACAGACACAGAGTGAGCTTGGTCACAATTAAGTTGGACATTTACTTTTTGTAGGGCTCATTGCAAATGTAAACACTTCAAGTGTTTAGAGAATTCCTTAGTGACTAGGAAAAGAGCACCGCCCGCTCCCTGCTCATTAAACTTTCAAGTTGAAGCCTCCAGTCGAAATAGGAGGTTTTCTGGAGTTTTATCATGCGTGTATAAAATCTGGCAGTCTGCTGAGGTCACCTGTTTGAAAGCTTCCATTGCTTTATGTACATATGTGCAATATCAGTGAAGTCTATCTTCTGCTGAATCAGAATTTTCCTGTTTTAATTGCACTTAATTTAAAAACCTGGATTAATATGAAATTTCACTTGGTTATTGATAGAGATAACTGCTAAGCAAGAAACATCCCAGCTTCAGGTTAGGTTCTTCAGAACATAGAAACAGCGTGACTTTGCTTTTTTTAAAGATTAGCTTTATCCTGTTTGTATCTCGTATTCTGAAACTGTTTCCAGATAAGGCATAGATTAAACAGCAGCATAATTGATTTTTCTCCTAATACTGCACAGTGATTTATTTTTAGGGCTGAAATAAACACACAAAACTAGAAAAAACAGCACCAGCTGACAGTTGAGCAGAACAGTAATCTGAGGAGTTTTGTGATAGACCGGACTTAAAAATATATTAAGTGTAGCTCAGAACGCCCGTGCTTTCCTGGATTTTTCTCAGCTTTGTTTGGAAAGGAATATGGTAGAGAAATCAAAGTAGACCCATAGCAACTTCAGTACTTGTTTTCATTCTTTTGAATAAAAAGGTAGATGGAAATACAAAGCCGTAGTCATGCACCTGCTTAAATGAGTTGGAGTGTCCATTTATTTTGTTCAATTTAAAATCCCAGTATTACGGCATGATACCAAAAGTAGTCCTCAGAATCCCTGCAGAAGTTAAATCTTAGCACTGGGATATTGTTTTTTCGCTTGTCCTCACCTACATTTAGAAAATTTCTTGTTACAACTTTTTCTAGAAGAAATTTTGTGAACTGGCTGTTTCATAACAGGAGCTAGCGTCTTTTGGCAGCTGTGTTTTAAGTGGGAATAATTTATCTTCTATTAGAGTATTTCGATGCATAACTGCTGGGAGAAGCTGTTAGCTGTGCAGAGCGCAACGAAAATTGAAGGGAACATGAACAGCAAATTAATGTGCTGCACTTGCACTAGACAACATTTTCAGTATACAAAGAAAGGGCTTATTAATTCTGATACTTGTCTCTGTGAGAAATGTAGGCCTACAGGGAAGAAAGGTTATGATTGTTTTATACAGTAAATTTCTGAAAGATTTGCGTTGACCAGCTGTTTATGCTTCAACCAAAAGTCCTGTTTTCTTGCCACCACCACCCCCTTTTTTTTTTTTTTTCTTAGGGAATATACTATTTCCACGGGACTGAAGCAGTGCAGCAGTCGTTTCACTACAAGGTCTGTTAAGCTGATCAGCCATGAGACCTGGCTGGAATGCGTAAATCCCAAACAGTGACTAGTTTAAAAGCTTTAACTTGTATACAATTTATTTCTTGTTGGAATTGAAGACTAAGCTAGGACTTACGGTACTGAGATACCACGTGTTATTTTTCTGCTGAGTTCTGTGGAAGTCTGCAGTCTTTCGGAGAGTATTACATAGTAAATATGAGTTGCTGTTAGCCACAATTAAATACTCTTAATCATCTTAGATATCTTTAAAGCTTTAAAAAAAGAAATTATCAAAGATCCATAACTATTCACTATTAGCTATGATGGAAATCTGGTAATTACAACTATTCTTGGATATGTCTCCATTAGTGAGGAAATTAAAATACAATATTGAGTAATGCTTGTTTCTGCCTAAAAGCTTTGCTGCTCTTGGCATGTGGAAATTGCTTTAGATCAGAAAGCTTGAACGGCAAAACAAATGGACTGAATACCCTACGTACAAATCCTTTAAGTTCCTAAAGCCTCAAAAATGTCGTCCTTGCTCCAAAGTCCTACACCAGACAGTTAGCAGTCTCGTAACTTGTAGTGCCTTCAGCTTCAGAATAGTTTCCCTGTCCCTGTTAGATTATCAGGTGGCAAATGTGTTTTCAAAGTTGAGGGTAACAGAGATACAGGTTTTGAAATGGAAAATTTATTTTTTCTAGTCTTCAGATGTGCAGACTGTTGACCAGGTGTCTTTGAAAACAAGATCAGATTGAATTCAAGAAGCCAAAGCTTGTAGGAAGGTTGGTGTGCCCTCGTGGGAGACCTTCCCCAGGAAAAACCTTGAGGTGTAGTCTTGTTAGATAAAGTTAGGTCAATAATGACACATTATCTCCTAAGACAATACTAAAAAGGGAGAGAAACTCTAGCAGTAACCAGCATCTCTGTGTAGATACCGCAGGTAAGCTTGTTCCTCTCCCGGCCGCTGCTTTTGAGAAAGCAGAGCTGCAGGTGGTGAGGAGGATGGGAACAGGCTGTCTCTCACCGTCCAGTCAAAGAATTCAGGTTCTCAGAGTTGAAGGTTCTTGGATTTTGTAGTCCTTGGTGTATGTCCATCCTTTTCTTAATGACAGGCATACTAGTTTCCAGATAAAAAACAAAGATACCTGTGATATGACAGTGCTCATATTTTCATATGCATATTTTTATATATGAAAGAAGATCTATTTCCATATATTTTCCATATATATAGATATTTTCAGTTTGAAAAAGTATTCACATTGCAGAAGAAATTGCTGGCTTTGAACTGCTTGTGCAGATTAACTTAGTCAAAAATTTGAACTAAAAACTGACAGTCTTAAGAGTACAACAATGAACTGAGCTCTTGTGTTAAAAAAAAAAAAAGTATGCTTAAGGTTTCTTGGGATGTTCCTACCTTTTTCTATTCTTCAAAGACAAGAAATCAGTATCAGAACATGGGTTCTGAAGATTATTGCCTTTAAATGGGTTTGATTTTTCTTTTAATAAGCTTTTAGTCTGTTTAGGTTGCAAGTCTGGATCTTTCTAACTATGAAAAATTGAGGTGGGGTGCCTAAATACCTTTCAGATTTTGAAATAGGAGGGGAAAACCTAATTTCCTTAGATCTGGTCGTAGTTGCAAACAAGCAAAGGTAGAGCTTAAGCAGTTGTGGAAGTCATGTATACATGGGACTGTCTATAACCTTCAAAGAGTGTCCTATGAATTTTGGTCTGGTTAGGGTACTGTGACAGACACGTACTTTACAGGCATTAAGCAGTGGTTGTTTTTTCTTGAAGGTCATCGTTAGATGCGTGCCGAGAGAAAATGCATTGAGACAAGTGGCTTTTAAGCAAGGCAGCTTCCATTTTGGTAGCTGAAGAAACTGTTGTTGATAATTGTAAGGAACTAAATCAATTTCAGTGAGCACTCCTAAAAGTCCCCCAATAACTTTAGCTAAAGTATAAGACACTTTTATTTAAGTCTGGAATCTCATTTGTCAGTTAATTCATTTAAACAAGAACTTACTAGGCACGAGTGGCCGGTATCTATCAACTTGAGACGACATCTGAAGTCACTCAGTGGTTAATAATCTGTACTTGCTGCTGTAGGGTGTTCAGAGGGTGTCTGACTGATCTGTTTGTCACCCGCTGTCTGCAAAGGGGTGGCCTCAGATCTCTGCAAGCACCTCTACAAAAGGCTATTGAAAAGAAGAGAAAAAGAAACCTACAAAAGGCTATTGAAAAGAAGAGAAAAAAAAAAAACCAAAACCATGATAGATGCATCCTTACCAGAGCAACATTGTCTGAACAGATAAAAAGATAGCAAAAGAATGAAGTTAGAGTTCTGTATCCAATTCTTAATTAATTTGATTTCCTCTCTGTCTTGAGCTTCTCCCTATTGATACTTCTCTGCAAAGCTAGTCCTTTTCCTTCATCAAAAAAAAAAACTTTAAGCGAGTGGCAGCAGTGTTTCAGCTCCAAATGGAAGCATTCTCTCCCATTTCTGTTACTTCAGGAAGTATCCAGTACCAAAATCTAAAGAAACATAGCTGTATTGCAAATTGGGACATTAAAGTGGGGAATGAGCGATCGGAAGACTATGTGACTGTCTGCATTGCTTTCAGAAAAATTGTCAATTCACGTAATTGGTACCATTTTTAGTAAGGGCAGCGTACTGTAGAAGAGCCTGGTTTAGGTTCTGTACTGCAGTTTTAATACCTTGATTGGGAACATAATCCACATGAAAGCTCTTGGCCAGCACCCTCACAAGTGGTAAAAATGACAGTGGAGACATGTCCTGGAAGATAAAATCAGTAATGCTTCTTCCTTCAGGACTGATTTCTCCACTTTAGCATCTTTGATGGCAAACAGAAATAACGATTGGTGTAAATGTCCATCAGTGTGATATGGCTGGAAATGGCGTTGACTGTGAATAGGATAACAGCAGCATCCAAAAGTGAGGTATTAGGAAGAGGGTCACTGGAAAAGATACTGTATCCAACATCCCATTTTTTACTGTTGTTTTTTAGCTAGTGGTGGTGTTTTACCATTTTCATTTCCAATGCTTTGGAGATCATTCTAAACAAGAGGCAAACTTTTTTAAAAAAAAAAAAAAAAGTAGTCTGTAAGGGTATTGCATGAGCCATTAATTTCCATACATGTACTTGCAGTGAGCCCAGAAAAACATTCAATTTCGAGTCATGTATTTCAGTTCCCAGTAACTACTAGAATAGTAATGTTGGCGAAGAGAGCCCCTTCAATAGAGGTTTTACTTTTTTTTGTGTTGTTTTCCTCTTTTCTTTTTGTTTTTAGCCACCAGCTAAATACCTCCTGCCAGAACTGACAGCATCAGACTATGGAAAGAAGTGCGTGGTCATTGATTTAGATGAAACTTTAGTGCACAGTTCATTTAAGGTAAGTAAATTCAAAAGTGATTTCTAGCAACTTGAATCTGTCAGTGAATGTTGTAGGAACTGTTAAGCCTTTTAACACATTAACTAGTCTTACAGGCTCTCCCAGGATGCCTCGTAGTTCTCATTGTTACTCCTATGATTATTCATCCTAATTTAGCTGTAAGGGGAGTAACAGATGTTGCTTGCTTTTTTTTTTTTTTTTATTCTGAGAAAGTCACATGGACTGCAACAAGGCCTTGAATGGTTATTGACTTCATGGCTTTAAATGGTAACTATTCCAACAAGGACCTGTATTTTAACAGGTACAAGACTTGTTGCTCTGAAACTATGGTTTCGTTTTTGATGTTTAAATGATGCCATAGTTAGTCTAGGAGAATTGGAAATTCAGCACAGCTCATGCTAGGTGGATGTACCTTAAACCAGTAGGTTTTGGGCACCAGTGGTTGCTGTGCTCTGTTGCCGGACAAGATTGCTTTCCGTGTGAGGCTGCTGTCCCGATCGCAGTAAGTGTCTTTAAGTATTTAACTTTCACAACAGGAAAGCGAATAGTATTTAGCTGTTGCTGATGAGTCAGTCATCTTCTAGAAGCAACTTTTATAACCCTTCAGATTTCAGCATGTGGTGGAAGTAGTGGTATTTTTCTATTGTTTAAATAGGGCTAAATTTAGAATAGGAGAATTCAGAAATACAAATAACCTAAATTGGCTCATAGTAGTGGTAGTATTTCTGATTAGCAAATGTCAGACATGATAAAGCATGTGCTAGTTTTAAACTTTGATACTGGAGAATTTTTAGAATCAATAGTATGTTTCCTTATTAGTAGCAAGCTAGAGTTACCACCAACTTTATGGTCTTCTAGTTCTGGTTTGCACTCCATTTTTCACTGCTAGAATAAACTCAGCATTTTAATCCTGCAATATTGAGTTGCCAAGCATTTAAATATGCAAACCATAATTCACATTGTGGTTAGAATTTGGCAATCGCCTGTCTTTGTTGACTTAAAGAAGAACTTATATGGAGATACTAGAACAAATATTCCTGTGCCTCAAACTGAAACTAAGATTCTTCTCTGTCTTTATTGTGCCTAATGGTATATAACGATTTGTGGTGGCGTACAGGAACCCCTTAACCTCAGTGCCAGATCCTTGTCTTCTATACCCAGACTGAACTTGCACTTGAGAATTTTTCAGGGAGATTAGAAGCAGACTGGGAAGGGAGGCACCATGTCTTCCTAATTAAATGAGAGTCAAAAATAGGAGGGGAAAGCTGAATTTAAAAGTCTAAATTTACATTAAAATAATGAAATATTAGGCTTAGTGTTATCTGAAATGTAAAAATAAAAGTTTGTTTTCTGAATGCTGTGGGTAACTTCGTACTGTGATTTTTCTGTTTTTTGAAACAAAATGAGATTCAATTTAGGTGGTTATTCTTTTTTTAAAACCATTTTAAAGAAATACATGTTTAATGGTTGACATAATGTAAATCCTTTCTTGTAGGATTGAGGTTTGTCTTTATTGCAGAGTGCTTTCTTGGCACATTTTAATCATCCCATTTATTCAAATGATATTTAATGGGTATTTTAGATGATGTTAAATAGATATTTAAGAAAAATCAAAAGATGATTCTACTTAATCTTGAACACTGAATAATGTTTGTTAGGAAAAGAAAACTAGTCCTTTTTTGTGTGAAGTAAATAGTGTTAGGCAAATGTTGGAGTTCCTGCAGTATTAGCGTCTTACAGCTACGATGGCATTATCTTAACATGAAGCCCTGTGATGGGAATATGTAAGAGAAAACCAAGTGTTGGAGGAAATGGCTTTAGTTGTTTAGTGGCAGGCACTGTCCAGAGGTGCTGTTTGGATTTTGTTTCATAAAGGGAGCTACTTCAGCTGAAGCAAGGCCGTTGCCGTCATCAAAAATAACGATGGATTTCCAGAAGAGCAGGGTTTTTAACACCTATATGCACACTGCTCTGCCTGAATAATCGTTACTTTTGCAGCTTCTCTTAGTTGTATTTTTTTTGTTTTTTCGCTAAAACATGTCTGCTCTACCCAGGCAGGTCCCCACTTAAAAGCTGTAAAAGTGTACGTAAATTTGTGATTTTTTAGTACAAAAGGCTTTATTCAAAACACATGATATTTTAGAATTCATAGTTCTGTTGTGAAATAGGCTTCATATTTCAAATGCAGATAATTTTTTTTTTTTTTAACACAACCAGAGAGGCAGAGTATTTAAAGTGCTCTTTTATGAAAGCAGCAACATCTGAAGGAGGGTAATTCTTGTCTTTTTATGCCCCTGCATATTTGTGAAGCTGTAAGGAGGTACTAGTCTTTCATGTTAAGTGCATATTAAAGGAAGAAAGTTTGGGGTGCTTTGGCAAGAGTAAAAAAGGAATAGATAGACATTATAGTTATCGTTCCCATCATAAAACAATAATAGAAGCAAAAATCATAAATTATAAATCAAGGAGATGTAAACATGGGTTTGTATAAAATGAATTAAACCACATGCAAGTCTGGAATGTAGTCATAATCAAAACTGGCTGTGAAACACTTTTAGAACATTTAAAACTCTGAAGCTTTTTATTAAACAGAAACAGTTGTAACTAAAGTAAAGATTTTCAATGGAAATACATTGTCTTCTTTCACGATCTGTCTCTGTGGTTCCCACTCGAGGCACGTACGTGCTTCGTGTGTGCAACCCCAGAAACCTTTATCCAGCAAACTGTTGCAGACTTTTCGCCTGTCTTCCCATCATGATGAAGCACAGAACCCCAGTCCGTGCTCTCTTCCTTATCGCTTGTGCCAACAAGAAAGCTGCATAGTACCTAAAGTATAAGTGGGGGAAGCAAATATGTAGTTAAGAGTAGTTTGGTCAGTGTTACAAAGTCTAAGGGTGAGTTTTATTTGTTAGTAAAAATTAGGTTGTCTAAACAGAATGTGGTTTTCTCTGACGTCTGGTTGCTGTTGCTCCTGTTAAGAAAGTTTAGTAATAGCTGTATTACTATCAGTGGACTTCAAAACCTTTGCAACTTGCAGTGACCTATTCTCTTTCTGCTGGTACAGAATATTTATCTTGCTTAAGGGCACCATGCATGTATAAATTCTTCAGGTGCGTGCAAGTCTTCTCAAAGTATGCACAGAGCTGGCACCCACTTGAAAACTTTGGTGGCTGAGTTATTGAGAGTTCATTTGGGTTTCTCTTAAGGTGAAGCTTCAGAATATTTTTGTGTGCCTGTTCTCTGGCTATTAGAGATGCTGCAGAGTATCTTTTCTGTCTGAGGGGCTTTGTGTAGGTAGCAGATGGGAACCTCGCCTCTGCCTTTTTCAGAGGCAGAAAGGGGGGTATATCTTGGGAATTGCTTGATGTCAGCTAAAGAAAAATTCAGATTATATCTGCGGGTATTTGAGGAGTTCTTTAGATCATACTAACGCAGCAGTCATCAACAGAATGGAGTTTTCCAGCATCAGCTGCTCTGGAGGTTTGGTTGCCAATACTGGTTGGTCAGGACAAGTAGATTCAGCATAGCTTCTCATTTGCCCTCTGATGCAGCACTTGCAGATGTCAGATCAAAACATCTTCCTTATTACTTCGCTACTGAGAGAAGGTGTTGCCCTCCGTATAAATTCTTGCGGTCGTTTTGCTCTCCTTGCAGGAAGGTCATTTAACAGTGGAATTAGAATCTTGTTTTTCCAGGGAATGAGATCAAAGTGGTGCTATCAGGTTAATACTGCAGGACTCCTTTTTCCTACCATTTTTCACAGAGCACCTGTTTAGGCTCACCAGTTTGTGATCTGTTTCTCAGTCTCTTTACCTGGGCTGCTTCTCTGCTTTCTTGGCACCCCCTTGCCCCCCGAGTGGGTTTGAAGGCTGTTTCTAGTCTCGCAGATTCTTCAGGGACGTGCTCCTTGGTGGTACTTAAGATCAGTCTGTTGGCTGATCCAGAAAACCAGGTGGGAAAGTCTGTGAAAGTCTGATAGAGCTGAGTGAAGAGGTTTTCCAGCTTTAGTAATGCCAGTTACCAGCCAGACTACTCCCAGCCTTCGTTTTAGGCTGTTACCCATGAAGCATATTGTCTGTTAATCATTCCTGTTAAAACTATATTTGGCAGCTCTGTATCTCAACCATTTCCAAGCTGCGGATCATAGAGTGAGTTACAAACTTCAGCCAGGCATGTTTACATGATTCAGGCATGTTTACATGATTTTATTTTTTTTTTTTTTTTTTTTTTTTTTTTTTTTTTTTTTTTTTTTTTTTTTTTTTTTTTTTTTTTTTTTTTTTTTTTTTTTTTTTTTTTTTTTTTTTTTTTTTTTTTTTAATCACAGACGTAATGCATGACGTACCAAAGGATCCTGCCAAGTTTGATGTCCATTTGAACTAGTAAACATTCTTAGCTGTGCGTCCCCCAATTACCACTACTGTCTAGCCAAGATTAGACTATGTACTCTTAAACTGTCTACAAGGACATTTTCCTGCTTTCCAAAGTAATTTTACTTCACCAACAGTTTTTCACAGTAACTCGTAAGAAATAAGTTGTATTTAACAGGCTAGACAAATGGATTCAAGGACTTGGACAGAGCGTGCCTGCTCTTCCCTTTTGAATTAAAATGCAGTTTTACATGAGTAATTTGATTGGTATAGCATGTTCTTGAGGTATCACGTCTTGAGAATCATTTAACTACACAACTTAAGTCTTGTTGCAGCTCCTGATTCAAATATAAACATTAGATATTACTTTTACCACTGTCTTTATTTTTAACTAATTACTAAGTGATGACCCAGAGTAGAATATGCGAAGCACATAGCTGAATTCCTTTGTCATCAGCCACACAGACTTGATGAAAGAGTTATCCAAATAGATACTTACCCTGGTAAACACACTCAGCGGTAGTGGGGGTTATTCAAGCAGTAAAGCATATTACGTTGTGTGAAGCTTAAAAATACGAGAGAAGAGGGAAGTGCAGTATCTGGTGAATACAGCTGTGTAAGGCTTCCGACTTGTGTGTGTAAAGGGTGCACACACAGAGTGGATCTGTATAGTCAATAATGTTTATTAACTTGTTCCTCAGAAGTGAGTAATCTTCTCTTTTACGCCTCTGAAATTTTCCCTCTAATGATCTTATTTTTAATGTTGATTTCTTTCCTTGTCATTCTTTCTAGCCAATTAGCAATGCTGATTTCATCGTTCCTGTTGAAATTGATGGAACCATACATCAGGTAAGTGCTCTTCTTCCTTTAGCGTTGTCCCAGTAGTGGAACTGTCCTCAGTGTCCCAGAGCATTATCTTTCTCCATTTGCTGCTTTACATTCAATAACAATACAAAAGCTGTGTACTCTGGAATGTATCATCCAGACAGGCAACCATGTTTGATCAGCGATGTAGTTTCTAACTCCTAAGCCTCGATTTTAACTTTTTCAGTTCTCCAGAATATCTCTCAGGACTTCAATACTTGACTCTCTGTCAGTTTTAAAATGGTTTCAAACAGGAAATGATCTAAGGATGGATTTTCAAACATTGCTAGGCCCAGAAAAAACTACTTGAATACTGCATTTCTCATTCCCTCCACGGACAAACAGGACATAAGTTGGCTTTAATGTCTGTTGGTAGCTCATATGGACAAAGCTTTATAAAAGTATTAAGGAAGGACAGACATTTCTTCAGTTTTTGTTGCAATCTGTGTTTAAGTTCTGTCCCCTTTTCTTCCTGTAAGTAATTTAAGTTGCTCTGATAGGACTTTTTATACACTTAAGCATCTTTAAAAGGTCTGGACAAAATTGCAAGGAGACTAATTTTTAATTCTTTAAGAACTTCACTTAAGACTGTCTGAAATGGTTTTCAGTAAATGCGAAACACCCATAATTTGAAAGTCAGTCCCCTTCATGTATCTTAGCTTGGTGTCTTTAATCAGTAGTCATTTCTGAAAACGTTGAATGAAATAAATTACAGTGCTGTAAATTGTCCTTTTCAGACAGACATTAAAGTTATTGCTGGAGATGGGTTTTACTGGTTAATGTGAAGTTGAGCCTTTCTGATACATGAATCTTGAAAATTGTTTGAAACGTCCTCTGTTGGTTGTTGTAGGCTAAAGATAATGCAGTTACTGAGTTGCAAATCTTCCCTGGATGTGTTTCAATGGAGATTTTAAATACTTTAATTTTTGAAATGTTGTCTTTTATATGGATTATTTTAATATGTTCATATTTTGATCTTGGAACAATTGATAGATCATAAAGTTAGTTCATAGTTTTGTTTCGTTTCCTGTTATGAAAACCATCCATGTAACTGTCACTTAAAATAATTACTAAATATCAGTCAGTGGACTGAAACGTGTTTGAAAGTGATAGTTGCTTTGACAGTTTTTACACTGTGCCTGTTTTATGTAGAAAAATCCAATATCTAGAGTACTTAAACCTGTAACGTTCACCAGAGCTGAATGCTTAAAATACATAAGTGATGTTTTGGGAGATTTATATTGTGATATTGTCTGTCCTCATTTGATGTGGGCTTTAATTGTGTTTGGTGCTGTAACGCAGACATTTTCTCTCCTAAAACTTTCTAGAATGCTTTTGAAAGGGAATAAAATAGGTTGCCTAATGATTTTGAATGGCTTAGGATTGTGATCACTTAGCTTGTCAAGATTATATATTTACGTTTTGAAACAAAATCCGGTAAAAGACTATTTGGGCTTTACAGTCAAGCACTTCAAAAGCCTGTTGCTTTTCCGTTCCCCGCTGCAAGCTTTCAGATTCTTCACCAAATGTAATGCAGTTAGGCACTCAAGATGACTGCATCATCACAAACCCACAAAAACAACTGGTCAAAGGGAGTGGATTTGTCCTTACCCTAACCGTGAACAGGAGGAAGGCTGCTCTTGACAGAGAAGGTCAAGTGAAATTAGTCTCTGACTGTGCTTTGCTGGAGACTTCCTGCGTAATTTTCAAGGAAATTGCTTAATCCCTTTCTATTTCAAGTTCTTAATCTCTAAAATAGGTGAAAATCTCAGTCGCAGTTGAAGTGAAGTTAATTGTAAGGAATTTGTGATCCTTGAAGTAGAGGTAATTTATACGGTATACAGAACAGGCAAAGTCTTGGGTTCGTGTGTTTGTAACACCTCTGCAGGCAAAGTAATGTACTGTCATCCACCAATCATTTTTTTATTAAACTGTGATAATCTGAAGGGTGAAAGCGGACGTTCTGGCTTAGTCTGATGAGCATTAACACAGGCTGTAGAGCTTTGACAACCGGTTCCCACTTCAAACCTGTAATTTTTTATTCCCTTAGAGCATAAACTGAACAGGTACCAAAAATTTTTTGTTATCCATCAGAATTTGTCATCTGTATAATGCTTGTCCATTTTCTTAAGCAGTTTATATACTCAAAGATTAATCATTGGCATTGGGAAATAATTCTACCTGTTTAAAATATCATAGGATATGTGAAATGTTGTGGAACCATACTGTCCGTAGTGTGTATCCCTACCTGCTTTACCAATAAGCCTGGTATGTTACTGAGCTGGAGATTGTCTGGTAGAGTATTGTTGTACTTGAACTCTGCCTTAGACAGAACCCCATGGAAAACAAATGGAGAACACCATTTCAGAAGTGCCCATTCAGAAAAAAATTTGAAGTTATATGAGATTCTTCAGATCTCATATACCAAAAATACAAGCTGTGGCAAATTCAATTGTTGTACGCTTGAAAGAGTTTTGAGACTGACTGACTTATCTAACAAGCTTTGTTCATGGTAAATGTTGTAATTTTTTGTTGTGCAACAGAGGCATTCAAAAAAGGCTGTCTTTAGTTTGGGGAGTTTATTTTCCCTTATGCCATTTATAATCCAAAGGTCAGAGAGACTCTTGTTCTTCTATAGGGAGGACAATTCAAATCATCATCTTAAAGGGTGCTTGGGTAAACCAGCTTCCCTAGATTAAAAAATAGCTTTTCTGAACACCCCTTGTCCCTCTGCCATCTTTCTTTCTCTAGCCTAATTTACCTTGTCTTTAGGAAGGATTTGTCATTTTATTTTACAAGGAAATAACTCGTGTGGAGGTACCTTCTGTTACGGGTCTTCAGATGCCTGCAGAGACTGTGCCCGTCTACAGGGCAGCTAAAGTTACAGGAGATGAATTCCACGCTTTGTGTTGGAAATGATGGCACAGATACAAAAGGGCAGTTCTAATGCAAGCTGACACTCTTCTGGCCAGTTCTCTCATTTCTCTCCGGTTCTCTGAATAAAAGGAAATTAGAGCTGGTCCCCTGCTCTACCAAATTATAAGTGAGAAACTGTGGGAAGTCCAGTGACATGTGTTGCAACTGAGAGTGCTCTTTAGAGGAAGTTTACTGAGGATGAAAGTAGTGGCTGGAGAAAGATGTTCAACCTGTTTGGTACCCTTGACGTAACTTCTGCAAGAACACATCCTCTCTTTTGGAGCGTGCTTCCCATTTAACAAGGGCAGAGCGATCACAACCCCCGGATTGGAAACAGTGTGTTAAATATACCTTTAATCCCCAACGGGTAAAGATTTTTAGGGTACGATGGTTCTGTGTCTTTTATCCAAATTGACTTGCAATGCCTTTGTGCCTTGCTGTCTGTGTCAAAGAGTAAAGAGGGCAGCCAGGAAGAGTTTGATTTGGTGTTACTTGAAATTTCATTCTTAAGTGTAATTTGTTTATTAAATGAGCAAAACTAGTTTTTAAGGGTTGTTTTTTTTTTATATTCAGTTAGCAATTGCTTATTTTTAGTTGCTGAACGCTGAAGAAATATTTGGCATTATACTTTGAATGTAATGTACAAAATGTGTTTTATTGGGGGGGGGGAATGCTGTTCGAATAATAAACTTTTTTTCTATAAAGGACAAAATTCCTTAATTCTCTTACAGAAGGCTGTGGCCTGGTAAGGGTTGTTTTTTTTTTATATTCAGTTAGCAATTGCTTATTTTTAGTTGCTGAACGCTGAAGAAATATTTGGCATTATACTTTGAATGTAATGTACAAAATGTGTTTTATTGGGGGGGGGGAATGCTGTTCGAATAATAAACTTTTTTTCTATAAAGGACAAAATTCCTTAATTCTCTTACAGAAGGCTGTGGCCTGGTTCAAGTAATCCAGGATTCGCTGTATCCGTTCTAGCTGGCCTATTCTTGGTTACTTGCACTGGGAGGCAACCACCACTGTGTGAACCAGAAAGACGAGGCTCAAGGACGCGTGTTATTTTCTGCTCACTCTAAAGATGCACCCAGCCCATGAAACAGGAGATTACAGGAGCTTGAGTTGTCACGGGCAGATTTCTTTGTCACTACTTGAAGATTTCGTTATTGTCAAGCTGGTTTTGAAAGGCAATTCTTTGTGTCCTATTTGATTGATTGAAATTGAGCTGGGTTTCTCTTTTGGTTTACAAATACTGAGTCTTTTTAGCTTAAGACTGCTTTGAGGTATAGAAAAGGTATGTGGAAATACCAAATGCTTGAAAACAATTAAAGATAATTACTTGTGTTCTGCCATTAGCAGCTGTAAGTACAGAATCCTGTGAAAACATGCCTAGTGCCTGGTTTGGGCCTTAACATTTTAAGAGTGAGGTTCATTTTATATTAAAAAAAAGACTGTATTCTTCTAAATTCTTACTGTGATAAGGAAGAAATTAGTGAACGTACAACACAGAAAAACTGGAGGGTTGGTTTCGTTTTTTTAATGCCCTGAAGACAGCGTATAAATCTCAGAAAAATGCCAGGAGCCAGTTAGTCTAGAGACTTAAACTGAAGACATCAGGCAACAGAGGAAAAAGCCAAGCCACAAATAACCGTGCGGCATTGAGATGCAAGTCCAGCCACTAACAAAGTAAAGGGGAAAAAATTCCAAATGAGGAGGAAGAGGAGAAAAGAGCTGCACTGTCAGCTGAAGAAAGCTTTTTATGTGCAGTAAACCAAAGAGATTTTGTAGCCCAGGATACCAGTACACTTGCAGTTGCTTCCAGGATCTAAGTAGGACTTCTCAAAAAAACTTCAAGGGGAATAACCATCCAGAGTATTAATACATGTTGTTCTGCAAAAAAACCAGTGATGTTAAAAAAAAAAAAAAAAAAAAAAAAAAAAGAAAGAAAAA